ATGTCCCGCCGCGTGGCCCCCCACGGCACTGCGGCAGGGGGCGGGGGGGGGGGGCAGTGTGTAACTGTTAAGATTAACCGATGAGCCCAGGTGCTGTGGAAGAGCCCTATTTCATGGCCTGGAGTAACATGCTGGTAAAAGCTTTGCCTTTGCTTTAGAGAGACAAGGTGGGTGAGGTAATATCTTTTATTGAGCCAACTTCCATTGGTGAGAAAGACAAGACTTGAGCATCACAGAGCTCTTCCACAGGTCTGGAGAAGTTGCTTTGGCAGTTAGCTGATCTAGCAGGAACTGAGAGACTTGTACTGTGTAAAACACCACATTACAGCTGAATTAAGATGACCAGGGAAAGCTCAAAAACCTCTTGTTGCAGCTGTTTCAGTCTGTCTGGCTGCAGGCCAACAAAGTATCAAGGTTCAGGTTAACTTATCACAGCTTTTTGTGCCAGATGGGCCAGAAGCCACTTTTTCTTTAAGTGAGAGTTTAGGTGGTAGAAAATACAGTCAATATGTAGGAAGACCTTATGTTCTCCAAGCTTACCCATCCCTCTGGATTTCTGTTGCTTCCATGTGAAATGTGAAAACATAGGGTATTCTAAACTGCAAAGGGGTTTTTTTTCCCAGAAAAAAGGTTGTTTTTCCAAAAAAACTTCACTTACGTCCACACTGCAATCGTGTTCTTTCGAAAAAAAAATTGAAAGAACAGAGGGGTTTTTCCAACTTAGGTAAACCTCTTTCTACAAAGAAGCCTTTTTCCAAAAGAGCTCTTTTGCAAAAAGGCGTGTGTGGACAGGGAAGAGGGAGTTATTTCAGAAGAAGAGGAAAGAGGAAAAAGCACAGGTGCTCTGGTGGCCACTCTGTCCATAGTAATCACAGCTTACATATGAGATAGCGTCCATTCTGTGTGGACACTATAATTTGAAAAAGCAGATTGCTTTTTGGTGTGCTTTGGCAGCGTAGGCACTCTCTTTCGGAAGAATTTTTTTCGGAAGATCTCTTCCAGAAAAGTTTCTTCTGAAAGAAGCTGGCAGTCTAGACATAGCCATAGCCACGGATGCAGATGAGGGAACACACATGGAAGAGAGCCAGGTACTACGTTCTTTCAGGATTCAGGCACGTTACACAACGGATATGGGTTCTGCTCTGGCCCTTACGTACAGCTCTTACTGCACAAACTGGACCAAAAGCTGCCCTAAGCGGATAGCAGAGGATTCCCTTGGCAATGAGGAATCATGTACTAGCACAGTCATCTCTATGCCACTGCTCTCACCTGACCTGCTGCGCAGTGGGCATGGCCAGAATGTTGCATGCTCCAGCAGCTTTCTCGGGGGATCACTACAAGACAGCATTCTCTTGAGGCTTCTCTCAACTGTACTGACGACAGTGCCAGTTGAAAACTAGCCCCAGAAATTGGATGTCACAAAAGGCTCCCTTGCAGCTGTGCCCAGCCCTTTATCTACAGACCAGATTGGGGAGCTTGGTCAGCACTTGCTCTGGAAGCTGAACACTCTGGCCCAGGACCACTGGCTTGCGTATGAGCAGAGACCACAAAGTGAGAATGATGGAGCCTGGAATGAAGGCACAGGGGGGTGGCCTGATAGATGTGGTACAATGGCAAAGGATATAGGGAAATCTGATCCTTTCCTCTGCTTCATCCTGCCCCCTACATTGAATGAACAAGGGGGTCATTCAGCAAAATTAAAAGGCAGGAAATTTAGAAGAAGAGGAAGGAAATAATCCGAGATAAACCCATGAAACCAAAATTCAGATTCAGTTTCACATTTTTCACAGTCCCCAAATTCAGGAGCTTCTGGATCTGAGGGCCTAGACTGGTTCAATAGAATTCACCTACAAAATTCAGATTTTGGTTTGCACTCCAATTGTGACACTCTCACCTCCCCCTCTTTCCCCCCATGATTATCTGACATTTACGTCCATGCCTAGAAATAACACTCCCTGACAGTGACAAAGGGGAACAGCAAGCAGCTGCCTGGTACAAATTTCAGAGAGGGGCTTCAGCCCCCAGGGCCTCCCTAAATAGTGCCATTGCTCCCTTGTACCATCCCAACTCCTGGCCCTGAGCCCCCAAAGCCCTGCCCTGACTCCTGCACTCCCCTCTGTCCCACCCCCTGCCCTGAGACAGCCACACTCCACCACACTTTTCCTTTTTTTTTTTTTTTTTTTACAGGCAATGTCATATCGCAACCCCCCAATCTCCTGCCATGAGACAGAATCACCAGGCAGGTGAAAGGGGCTGGCTGGCTGGGGATGCTCCCTGCCCCACAGGTCCAAGACTGTCCCAGCCCTGATCCTCCTACCCCCCAAGAGTCCTTTAGGGAGCATGGGGGCAAGGCTGAAGCACCCTACCTCCAATTTGCATGGGACATTGCTGGCTGTTCTCCAGCCAGATGCAATGTCAGGGATTGGCCCCTA